CTTAGGATCGCCTTTGACATGCTGAGTTATGCTGTATTGCGTCGCCCAGTGGGGTCCGGCTTTGCCTGGCCCAGTACTGTGCCCGTGGTGCTCAGTGTCCTGCACTGGCTGTGAATTGGGGAGTCCGGCGCAGCCTCCGCACTCTCCTCTCTCTCTAACATTTCTGAAACTCTTCAGGGGGAGTAGAAAACCCCGTCTTTCTCCCTTGGAGTGGCTGGCAGTTTCGAACGGCTGACCTTGCAGTTAGCAGCCCAATGTGTAACCACCATACCACCAGGGTCCTTTAACAGAAGACTGTGTGTCCCTTAAAGATAAAAGCACCTCACTGCCATCTAATCAATTCCTACTCCTAAGGACCCACTCGAGCCAAATGTTCCATAGGGTTTCTGAGACTGCAAATCTGGCAGAGAACAGACAACCTCATCTTTCCCTCTCAGAGCCACTGGTGGGTTCAAATCGCTGAACTTGAGGTTAGCAATCCAATGTGCTAGATCATCAGCATTTCTCAAAATTGAGCACTGCACAGCACTGCACACATCCTTTTTTTTTTTTTAAACATTGTATTAGGGGCTCATACAACTGTTATCGCAATCCATACACACATCAATTGTGTAAAGCGCATTTGTACATCATTCTCAAAACATTTTCTCTCCACTCAAACCCCCGACATTAGCTCCTCATTTTCCCCCTCCCTTCCCGCTCCCCCCTCCCTCATGAGCCCTTGATAGCCCTTGGTATTTTGTCATATCTTGCCCTGTCCGATGTCTCCCTTCACCCACTTTTCTGTTGTCTGTCCTCCTCACACATCCTTTTTAAGAAAGAATGTTCGTGAGAACTTCTTGTGTTGACTTACACTATTTTTATTTAAATGTTCCTTAAATGTGCATGAGCCTAAAATTAAATGTTTTCCTTATGGGTCTTGTAGAGTTAAATAAAAATCAAGACAAATTCAGAAATTAAACAGAACCAACGCTACAAGCAGAAAACACAGATTGTTCCCGTCAGGAGTGTTACTTGAATGCACGCCAAATGTGGTACGGGGACTTGGTTGCTGGACACACAGCTTGGGCCTCGTCCTACGTGCTGGGCTTGTAGCACGTTGGGCGTGTCGTGTAGGGATGCCGTGTCACCCCACCCATTGCTCCTCTGGTGCCTTTTAAATGTGGGTGCCACGGAAGCCCTGCAGGGCTTGTGGAACTCCAGTGGTTGGGCCTGTCCTCAGCCATCAGGTCTGGGGCGGAGCCTGTGAGTCTGCCCTCTTGCCAATTCCCAGGGGATGATGCTGTTGGTCCCAGGTCCACACACTGGGGACTATTGTGTTAGGGGCAGAACCATGAAGCTGGAAAAGTCCACTCAGGAAAAACCAAAACACCCTAAGAATAAGGGCCTAGTCAAGAAGAGTTCCTTCAAGGACCCTGAGATTAGTGAACTCTCTCCCATCTTGAGCATGCGCGGTGAGGAAAGAAATGAGCTAGAGAAACCTCGTTGCTCATTATCATAATAAGAATCACTCACACTGGCGCCGTGACCGTTTCCCATCACCTAGGAGATCACTGGGACACTTCCGACCTGACCAAATACGATAAAGTGAGGGGTGGACCTAGTTCCCGCCACCTCCCCCCTACATTAGTTCCTTCGTTCTCATGCATTTGTAAAAGAGAATACAGTTCTCTGCCTTGCACCTCCCACCCTGGTTGTCTCCACACCTTGGAGGTGAGAGGCTACGCCTCCTTTGGAAAGTACTTTTGCTTTAAAATAAGTGCTTAGCTGAGTGAAACCCTGTGCCGGTGGGACACTTTTCTACTGCAATTGGACCACTGACGCTCCAATTCTTCAAGGATTTCCACAGACGATAACAATCGTACTATCCTGACGACCAGGACACTTTGTTTCCTACAGTCATGAGTGCCGAGTGTCATCGGTGACAATGAAGTCTACCTCAGCTCCTGCCTTACGAGTCAGAGACAATAGAAGTGCTATTTCTTGGCATATACAGTTAAGCATGTCACCACTAATTGAAAGGCTGGTGGTTCGAACCCACTCAGATGTGCCTCAGAAGAAAAGCCTGGCAATCTATTACGTCAGCAAACCCAACCACGAAAACCCCATAGAGCCACACTCCTGTGATACGCACACGCTCAAGGGAATCAGCTCTCTGTAGGTCTTGTCTGGGTGGGCTAAGTGGTTAAGTGCGTGTCTATTCACCCAAAGGTTGTCGGTTTGAATCTCCCTAAAGATGTCGAAGATTGACTTTGTAAAAATCCCAGCAGTGGAGAACCCTACAGAGCACAGCTCTACTCTGAACCCCATAGGGTGGCTGGGAGTTGGGATCGACTCCCCAGCACTGGTTTGGTTTGGAGGTATGCCTTGTGTGTCCCTGTCTCTGCTTGGTGTATGCAGTGTACCTTCTTGTCTTCATACCTGGCCAGACACAGAAGCTCGCTCACACCTATGCGGTGCCTGAGGGACCTCCATCGCCTCTTGCAATCAAAGAATGTGCAGTTCAGCACTGCCCCATTTCCTTTGTCCCCACTACCCCATGGGTGGATCACGTGTGTTCATTTGCTTACTATTTATGGTCCATCTCCCTTAATGCTGAGCTCCAAGATAGCACGTCTTTGCCTGGTTCCCACAACTGTCAGTTCCAAGACGGCGACCCCTTGTCGCTTTCACTCCCTTCCCACTGATTTCCAGCGCCCCAAACACTAAGACGCTTCAGTGGTGTAGTGGTTACACATTGGGCTGCGAACCGCAAGGTCAGCAGTTTGAAGCCACTACCTGCTCCTCGGAGGAAGACAGGGGCTTTCTACTCCTGTAAAGAGTTACAGTCTTGGAAGACCACAGGCGCAGTTGACCCTGGCCTGTGGGGTGGCTGCGTCTGAATTGACGTGAGGCAGTGAGTTTGGCTTTGGTTGATGAATGCTGTCCGGGACAGAACGCCACCCTATGGGCATGTACGGAAGGAGTGTTTGCTTCTGTGTCTGTCTCCCCGACTGGACTGGGAGTGATGGGCTGTGTCTGGGTCTTGGCCATCTCTGAAGCTCGAGGATGGTGTCGCGCTCTTGTCCATGGGCCTGTACCTGCCATTATCTGGAACGCTGTGCTTCAGCCTTCACGGAATTAGGTCTCCAGGGTCCTCCTTTCCATCAGTGTCCTCGAATTCATTGGCACTGGAAACCTGATGGCTTCTTTTAAAAACATATTCCCCTGGGCTCCTTTGAACACTTGAGACCTTACAGCACATAGGCATCATCCCCATCAGGAAGTCTCATCAAAATGGTATTAGGTTTGCACACTGGGAGAAGAAACACCCTCCCACCAGTGTTGCTGTTTCTTAGATTGCCCTCGGACAGAAGCGGGGAAGCCCTTTCAAAAGGCATTTCGATTGCATCTGAACCAGTGGGCCAGGGCCGGGACCCAGTCTCTCGATCCACGGTCAAACCAAGAGAAGGGTGGGAAGGAGACCTGCCCAAGGAACATCTCTGGTTACAGCCTGCGCAGACGTGGAGGGAGGGCCCAGCGTTATTGTGGTGGTGGTGGTGGCGGGGGGCGGGGGGCTTCGCATCTCAGGGCTGAACAGTCCAGCTTCTCTTACAGAGTCTTTATATACGTGTATAAATCTTGACCTTCTCCCTGGTGCCGTCTTGTAAACTAAGCTTGCAAAATAACATAAGACAGGGATACTTAAAAAAAAAATTGTGGTAACATAGATTTAAAAAGGAAACAAAGCCACTCACGGCCATGGAGTTGACGCTGACTCATAGCGACCAGATGGGGTGGGGTAGGACGACTGCCTCCGTGGGTTTCTACCACTGTCACGTTACAGAAGTAGGGAGCTTCGTCTGGTTCCTGGGGGGAGCTGCTAAAACCATTTTGGCACAAGGGCGCCTGTGGTGAAAGAGAGACATCAAAATGCTGCCCTTTCACCATTTTTACGTGCGCGACTCCGTGGCATCACGTGCATCCACAGTGTGGTGAGATCCTTGAAACAAGTTGCCCTCCAGGCAATTCCGACTCACGGCAGCACCGGTGCATCAGAGTAGGATTGTGCTCCCTGGAGTTTTCCATGGCTGTTTTCTCAGAAACAGGCAACTCTGGGTGGACTAGAACGTCCAACCTTCTGGTTAGCAGCAAAGCCTGTTAACCACTGACTTCTTTCATCTGTTGTTGCTAGGTGCCATCGACCCATAGCAACGCTATGCATCACAGAGGGAAACACTGCACGGTCCTGCACCATCCGTACAATTACACCTGTGCCTGGGCCCCTGGGGTTACAGCGATGGTGTGATTTAGCATAAGGACTTTATAGATTTCACAGCAGGGAGTTTGGTTGGAGTGATGAACTTCATGTATCAGAACTTCATTTTTCTTCCTGACTGACTACTAGTCCATCGTGTATATGTGCCACAATTGTTTCTGTCCATTCATCTGGTGAGGGCACCTGGAGACTACTGAGAATAGTGTTGCGTGAACATTGGTGTGCATGTAGGAGGACAGCTGACTGAAGGCCTCAGTTTCACCCAGGCCCCTTTTTTATGGTCCTCGAGTTGGGCACAGCGCAATCTATAACACGGAGCCATCTACCATATATACTCGAGTATAAGCCAACCCGAATATCAGCCGAGGCACCTAATTTGACCACAAAAACAGCATTAAAATGTGCTGGAAAACTTGGCTTATACACGACTACATAGAATACTTCCAAAAACCAAATACTAGCAAAGGCTTCCTTTCTGTTGGCTTCTCCCTCCCGCATCACTGGGAGGCAAGGCAGAGGAAATGGTGGAGGTAGTTCTTTGAACTCTTCCCCATCAGTGCTATCTCCCAAGCCTTTCGCCCCTGACGCTGCAGTGAGGGGCCAGGGGCTCCGGAAAGATGAAGAAGGCCTGTGGAGCGTGGCATCAAAGTGAGGCAATGCAGCTTTGGCTGAGCCTGTGTGCTTGACTCATTTCTGGCCCAGGGCCTTCCTCTGGTCTCATTTCTCACGTCTCTCTTTGCAGCGGGGTGAACATGTACGCCATGCTGACTGGGACCTTGCCTTTCACCGCGGAGCCTTTTAGCCTGAGAGCTTTGTACCAGAAGATGGTGGGCAAGGAAATGAACCCTCTCCCCACTCAACTCTCCACAGGTAATCTCTCTGCCGCCCTGTGTGCCGTGTTCCAGGAATACACTCTGGACCAGGGGTCCTCAAACTTTTTAAACAGGGGACCAGTTCACTGCCCCTCAGACCCATGGGAGGGCCGGACTGTAGTTTAAAAAAAAACTATGAACAAATCCTTATGCAGACTACACATATCTGATTTTGAAGTTAAAAACAAAACGGGGCAAATGTCCTCGGAGGGCCACATGTGGCCCGCGGGCCGTAGTTTGAGGACCCCTGCCAACACTTTGGGTGCTTTTGTGACATACTATTTGTCTTGCAGAAATGGCTCCCTTAGGGAGGTCCCTGACTAAGACAACTAAGACAAGTAATGAAACAAGAGGGTGGTGATGGCTTACTGGTGAATTCTCCGCTCCCAGGGTGGAGATCCAGGCTCAGTTCTGGGCCAGCGCACCTCAAGTGCTGACAGCACCCATCTGTTAGTGGGACTTGTGTGTTGCTGTGAAACAAGTTTCCGTGGAACTTCCAGCCTTAGATGGGCTAGGAAGAAAGACCTGGTGTTTAGACCTGGTGTTTATCTAGTGCTACTCTAACAGAAAGACCACGGTGGGTGACCTTTGTGGAAGTGGATTCTCTCACCATTTAGGAGGCTAGAAGTCTGAGTTGAGTGTTGGCTCCTGGGCGGAGCTTTCTGACAGCTCGAGGCCTTGTTAGTGATCTTCGTGTGCCTTGGCTTGTGTCTTTCCCAGCTCTGCTTCTTTCTATTGCTTCTTTTATTTCTTCTGAATCTCAAAAGAAAGGAGCCCTAGTGGCATAGTGATTTACACGCTGGGCTGCTAACCATGAGGTCAGCAGTTTGAAACCACCAGCAGCTCCTAAGGATAAAGATGAGACTTTCTACTCTTGTAAAGAATTACAGTCTTGGAAACCCACCGGGGGCAATTCTACTCTGTTCTATAGATTCCTTTGAGTCAGATTTCACTCGATGGCAGTGAGGGTTTTTTTTTTTTGAGACATATGAAAAGAGATCGACTTAAGACATCTGTATTAATACTATCTTATTAACCTAAAAAATACAACTATTCCCAACATCGTTGTTGTTGCTTTTAGGTGCCATGGAGTCAGTTCTTGACCAGACCCCACAGCATTTAACTTTGCTGTTCACGAGATCACCACGAGGCAGGGACTGATTCAAAGGCAACCAAGAAGTGTTAAAAATTAGCCTTAAAAGGTGGTTTGGTAACCCATTTCCAATAGCCACTCCTTTCTTCCCTCCTGGGATTCTTTTTCCATTATGATTCTCAATCCCCAAATTCTTCCCTCCTCCTTCGGCACGCTGCTCCCCTAAAACCCACTCACCTATAGGATCTGATCGTCTCCATTTGAAAATTAATTGCAGGCGTGGGCACTTAAAACTCACCTTGGCAAACTGCTGAGTTAGAAAAGAGCATTTATAATCACATCTCCATTATATCTTCTTTAGTTAACTCAGTTGCAGAGAAATAGCCGTTTCATTCAAGTTGGGTCTGTGATTGTTTTGTTATTTCAGGATTTTAGCCCTATATACATATATATACATATTTGTGTGAGTGTATATTAAATAAAATCATTAGTTGGTTTGAAAAGTGCCCTAAAGTTTTAGCTGGTTTCAAACTCCAAAACCACCAAATTCACGGCCCTGAATTGAGAATAACTCCTAGTGACCCTGTGGGACAGGCTAGCATTGCCCTGGGTATTTAGAATGTAACTCTTTGCAGCAGCAGAAAGCCTCATCTTTCTTCCTCAGAGTGGCTGGTGGTTTTGAACTGCTGACCTCACTTGTGAGTACCCCACTTTGCCACAAGGGATCCTCAGCTTGCTCGTGGCTCAGTAAACACTCTATATGAAGGTTTGGTTTCAGATCCAGGTTCACAATTCATCTCCAGTCCTTGATCCCAGCTTGGCTTTGGCTGTCATTTAATTCACTTGCTCTCACTCACCGCCATTGAGTTGATTCTGACTCATAGCAACCTTATCAGATAGGCTAGGACATCCCCTCTGGGTTTCTAAGACTTCAAATCTTTATGGGTCCGGATAGGTGCATTTTTCTCCGTGGAGTGGCTTGTGGTTTTGTTAACATAACAAGCAAAACTCTGCTCTCAAAAGCCATCACACCCATAGGGATGAGGGTAAGATGCCAATGCATATTTCAGGGGAAGGAGGAGATGACTTGATTCAAATACAAACATATTCAAGCAAGAGCAGATGGGTTAGTAACCCAGGAAAATCTTATTACTGCAGAACCGTACCTTGCTTTATATCAGTATTATTACCCTAGTGAGTCCTGGTGGCTCGATCCAGTAAACACTGGACTGCTAACCGAAAAGTCCATGGTTCAAACCAACCAGCTGCTCCATGGGAGACCAAAGAGGCTTTCTGTTCCCATTAAGTTTTACAGCCTTGGAAACCCTATTTAGGGTCTTTATGGGTCAGGACTGACTCCATAGCTCTGGGTTTGGGTAATTTTACCTTATCCTTAGCCACCTGGGCTTGAATGATTGTGAAAATTGAACAACTCTGTGTGTTGCGCTCTTTTGAACAATTTGACCTCTGTGAGATCAGATGGACAACAGCATCTCGAAAGGTTAGATGAGATGCTTAGTGGACAGTAAGTCCAAGTTCAATGACAGTGGAGCAATTTGGAGGCCAGTGGGAATGTTTGCACAACTTGGAGAATGTAATCAGTGCCACTGAGCTGCCCCATGTAGAAATTGTTGAGATGGTGTGTATTCTCACCTAAATCATTTATCCATAGAGAAGAAAATGGTACCCACTGGGGGGTCTTCAAAGAAAATAACTCTAGGAAAGAGCTACTAAAAAAATCCCACGCAACTTCAGCATGACTGTGGCCAGTGGCCAGCCTTGTGTTGTGCCAGCTCTGAGCAGACCGCTGTACTTCAACTGTGACCTGTGTGTGTGCTTGTTAGAGACCCACAGTCCCGGAGGACTCTGCGGTGTCTTGGCTTGTCAGCGTGCATCGCATTTTTACATCTGATTTTCCAATTAGCATCTGAACTTTGTCTCTTCATTTTTTTTTTACTGTTGAGTTACATAAATATCTCTCCTCCTTCGGGACTTTAACCCTTTGTGCTGGGTAGCAGGCATAGATAGGGACTGGGCGAAGATGTGTCATTGATTCTGATCAGTAAATCAGGGTCTGAGGCCTGCACGGTCATTAAGCTGCTCAGAATTGAGAGTAATCTAGGACACAAGGGCCCAGCACAGTCAGCCAGCCACCGATGTAGCGCAGGGCATCTTTTAATAGAGTAAATCACCTGGGGTTTGGCAATGAGCTGCTGCCCTTGTGACAGACCCCTCTTTTCAAACCCTGTGCCCATTGTGCCCCAGCAAAGAGGAAGACCCTTGTTAGGAGGGACCGACACAACGGCTGCAACTGTGGGCTCCAGCTTGGTCATGGGGAGGATGGCGCAGGGTCCGGCAGGGTTCTGTTCCGTCGGATGGAGGGTCTCAGTGAGTCTGAGCCAGCTCGTCAGCACCTGACCACAGAGTGCAAATCCTTTTCCTTCCAGGCAGCTGAGATACACAGGGACGTGCTGTTGAGTTGGCTGACTCCCAGCAGCCACAGGTACCACAGAAGGAAATGCTGTCGCCTGAGCCTTCAGCATCGTTGTCACAATCTCTGCGGAATGTTTAAGTTCATCCTCACCGTGGCCGCGGTGCCTGTCCTCCTCCCAGAGGGTCTCTCCGGCGCTCACCGGCCTGTGGCTTCATCAAGCACATATCCTCTGCCAGCGCTGATCCCTCCGGTGACGGGTCCAAAGGGAGCCAATGGTTGATGTTGCTGTGACCCGCTGGGTGTCCTTGGCTTGTTTTGTGGGAGTAGATCCATAGACACCAGACCTTCCTTCCTCGTCAGTCTTAGTCCGGAAGCTCTGCTGCAAACGTGCCATCACGCTGGACCTGCTGGGTATCTGAAATCCCCGTGACCCAGCTTCCTGTATGGCAGCCACCGTAGTAGGACAGACTGACAGAGAGGTGGTCGTCCACCTGTCTGATGCTGTTAGGGGCTGTTGCGTTGGCTGCAACTCATTGCAGCCCTCTGGCTGAGAGTCGGAAACGTTGCCGGGTCCCGCACGGTCCTCACGATTGTGTTTCAGTCCGTTCTTGTGGCCACTGTGTCATTCCATCTCCTTGAGGTCTTCCTTTCCACTGACCCTCTCCTTTACCAAGCTGTACGGCCTTGTCCAGGGACCGGTCTTTCCGGATAGCACGCCCAAGTTTGTGAGAACTCGTCCACCCCTTGCTTCTCTGCACTTCTTCCCAGACAGATTTGTTTGCTCTCCTTGCAGTCCATGATTCGACCAAGATTCTTCACCAGCACCATGATTCAAAGGCATCACTTCTCACACATGGTCCAGCTTTCAGATGGATGAACACGGTTGAAAATACCATGGCTGGACCATTTGCACGTTTATCTTAAAAAACTCAAGCTCACTGCCGTTGAGTGACCTCCTAGGACAGGGTAGTAACCCTTGTGAGTTTCTGAGACTGTAACTCTATGTGGGAGTAGAAAGCCCTGTCTTTTGCCCATGGAGTGGCTGGTGGTTTTGAAGTGCTGACCTTGTAGTTAGTAGACCAATGGGTAACCACAGAACCACCAGGCCTCTTCAAAGGGACATCGCTCTTCAACACTTTACATAGCCAATCAGCCTAGCCCACATTTATTTGCATGCTCCCACCCACTCATTTGATGGAAATTACAAAGACTGTGGATAGAAGAGTGGCACCAAGAATATTCACTTCCATCTCAGAAAGGTCCTGTATTGCAAGATAGTTATAGATGCTCTTGCATAGATTTTCAGGTGTCCTCCCAATTGGGGGTTTATTAATGCCCTTAATGCCACATAGCTATTAATTTGATTATTCATTAATGGTAGAATTCTGTTGTATTTGCAATGAGTTCTCTACAGCTCTACTCTTTTGTTTTAAATGATGACCTTGGGAGGATTTCCATAAAATTTGACTTG